GACACTGAAGAGAGAGGGAATTTTTTAGAGAGAAGGATAAACAGGGTTTCGGGCGTGGTCCTTGAACCAAATTTGAGTTATTTCATAACTACATTTCTTTCTTTTCACTCAGTAACATTGCCTAAACAGCAAACAGTATCAAACTAGGCTACATATTATTTAATGTCATGTATGTACTATTTGATGGTTTTACTTACTGAGTTTAGTCCTCCTGCTCTGTAAATACCATTACATGTAGTCATATATATGATGTAATTAACTTTACTGCACATTATTACTCCTCTAAACACTGGACATTCTTTTCATTGCAATTAAATAAATGAAGCTACAGTGAGAGGAAACGCAAATGCATTTAGATCGTTTAGTTATTTAATATTTCACTCACACACACTTAAATTTGCTATTTTTCTGCTAATTTTGTTCAAAATTTATTTTCATTGTCTGAGTTACATATATATATATATATATATATATATAGAGAGAGAGAGAGAGAGAGAGAGAGAGAGAGAGAGATGTAGATAAGTATATGTATATAAAGATGTAGAATATGCGATTACTTTTGCACAGATCACATTTCGTTTTATTTTTTTTACCCTCAAAATGTTAAGTTCATGTAGAATAAACAACATATTATTTGATCAGTTATGTGGCACCAGTTAAAACCCTTTGTTCTATCAATTGCATTGTTTTAAACATCTCTTTGCTTTTGTTTATAAATGCATATTTTTGTCCATATTTATACACACAAAGTCAAAAGACTTTTTTGTGAATGACTGAAGTGAATGTCTGAACTGGAAGTGTATTAAATAACAAAAACAGTTGTGTCTGAATTCTTGTTTGCCTTCACTGTATATATTAACATACAGTATAGAGGTTTTACAATTTAATCATAACATTTTCCCTTTCTCTACAGAGTCCAGTGATGTGTTCAGATTGGTTGGTAATTCTGTTCAACTGGACATACAGGATCCTGTACCAGAGTTTGAGGACTTATTCTGGGTTTTTAACAGAAATAAAAATGTTGTAAAATATTATCCTGAGTTTAAAAAAGCTAAACAGTATCCTGGTTATGAAGGCAGAGTGGAGTTCAATGAGGAAACCTACAGTCTGACACTGAAGAACTTACAGAAGACTGATAGTGGACTGTATGAAGCAAGAGCGTCTGGTGATGCGGTCAGAGTTGTTACTGAGTACAGACTCTCTGTGTTGGGTAAGTCTTATAGAAAATCAGTCAGTGAGAGGAAACATGCAGTCCTGACACAACACTGCTGTTATTAAGTTGTTTGTTTGTTAAGAATATTTTTTCTTTTATTACTATCATTTTTTTTTTATTTTTGGATAAAGAAAAATACAGACAGGGTGGGTCCCAGGATTTGGTGGTCCTGGACCTCTCATTAAAATAAAGGGAGAGAAAATTGAACTTGGGGAGGGGGGTCCATATTATTTCCTTGATTAAAATGTGAATTTTCTGAAAAAATGAATACTCACAAGCGGTGACCATCTTATTTTCTACATTTTTATTGATTTCATCATTAGACTCCTGGACAAATTGTGAACTCACGTAGCATGAATTCATAATGTAATCGTATGATCTAGAGCACAGAGCCACGTCAACCTTGTTTAAAACTGCTGAGAAACAGAGAAAAAGGTGGGTCAGTGAACCTGAAAAATAATATGAACAAATTACCTCACTTCCCTCCCACCTTATCAACTGAAATGCTCAGCTCACTCAGAGACTCTCTCTGATTCTGTGTTTCATACAGAAAGTCACAGTACAGAAGGAAATTCATGATTCACATTGACTCCCAAAAAACATAAGGGTCTGTATGGAAGTCCACTCTTCAGTTCCTACTTTCATGTCTTACAGAACTTACAAATTAGTTTCTTATTGATCATAGCAGTCAGACAGTATATAGTAGTAACACAGTAGTTACAAAATGGTAAAATAGCAATTACATAGTAGTAAAATAGTAATTGTATAGTAGTTGTAGATTCAGCTTAATAATTAAATAAAAGGTCTGCAGCTCAGTGATTAAGACAATCAGTGTATTGCTATACAGATGTGAAATTAAACACCCCAGACAAGTAATATTAGTGAAAAAAAAACACTACAGAGGCAAAACTCAAAAATATGCATCGATAGACCTATATGACACCTCATGCTCAGACTTTTCACCAGAGGACTCTCAAAAATTTCTGCCACAATTTGAACCCTGGAGGGTGCTGAATTACGTAAATGTACACAAATCAATTTCATTTCAATTGAATTGGCCCATTTTTAAATTCTGTTTAAATTATTAGCATTGAAAGAATGTAAGCACCCAAGTGTTAAACCAGGCAAAGTCAATCACGTCAAATAAAAAGTTTTTTTAGTTAATTTTTTTTTTGTTTTTTGTTTTTTTGAGTCGTATTTCCATCTGCTATCACACATACCCAACGAAATTCAGCCTGTAGTACTTAAAATAGGATATATCCCAAATTACTCAACAGTTAGGGGAACTTTTTTGATGATTTCTTGTATTCAAAGATTTCATTGGTTCATGACTCCATCTATTTGCATACTTCCCCTTGTTTTACTTACCATCTGTGTTCTATTTCTACTAGGCTCTACTAGGATCTTTCTAAATTCCTACATATTTCAACTGTTGAGATGAAGTGTTTCAGAGTGATTTGATGTGAAATGGTGCAGTGTACAGAAACTTACTCAATGTTTTCTCAGTGTTGTTAATATGAACCAGGGGTCACAATGTCTACAATACAAGTAAAGCCATTTTATTTACTACTCAAAAAGACTAGTGAGTGTATAACGTTGATAATGGCAAAACATTATTAAATCTGAAAACATAACTTTTCTTTGATGACTAGATTTAAACAATAGAACTTCTAATAGAGCTTCTCAACCAATCAGCTTGCGTGGCTGGAACTAACTGTTGTATAATGCCTTATAACACACTGCATGTAGTTCTCCAACATCAAAAAGCATAAAGCTAAAGCTAAAGCTTTAGCTTTATGTCAAACTATCATGAAACATGTCCGATGTATTTGTAATCATTTTGTGTAAAAGCTTATTGTTAAGGAGCTTTTAGAGGCAGCTGGATGGAGAATTTTTGAAGATGAAAAACAAACAACTATAATTAAGGAAATAATTAATTTAGAAAAATCTTTGGAATTCCTTTTAAAAGCATTAACGAAACGAGATGAATATAAAGCTTGTTTGTTTAAATGGCATTTGATTTTAGCTACGATGTTCTAAATGTAGTTTTGATCGTCAACCCACCAGCTCAAGTGTAAACACTAAAAAGGACAATTGTTATTATTTTTCTATACTTATTTGTCTCTGAGGTCTAATATCAACACCATCACCAACGTCCAGATGGACCTCAGCTACTCTGAAAGATACTGACCAGTTCTGAAAGACTTTTACTGATATGTGATGAGTGATTTATCACTGACTGACTGTCAGCATTACAGTGATGTGTCTGTATATCTTCTACCTCAGATCCAGTGGAGGGTCCAGTCCTGACTCACCAGCTAAGCAGAGACACCTGCAACATCACTCTCACCTCTCTATCAACTCCAGCTGTTACAAGGAAACCTGTGAGGAGAAGGAAGTGACATCACCTGGAGGCGTCACCCTTTCCCTGTCTGTCAGTGGCAGCACCATCATCTGTAACCATAGCAACCCAGTCAGCTGGAAGACGAATGTTTTGGAGATGAGAGAACTTAAACGACTCTGTGCTGATGAAGGTGAAGGTGTGAACACAGATACACACAAACACTGCCTCTAAAATCACCTAAAAGATTCACACCTGTTTTGTTTTTTTCATCAACCTATTCTAAGCAGTAGACTGAATGTATTTCTGCATGGGTGCCTAGAGGGGGAGATTAAAAAGTGAGTTGCATATTTGATTATGACACAGCAAATTATGGTTTTGCTTCTAACATAATAAATTATAAAACCACTTTTATGTTGGTTTTATAATTAGTTGGTTAAATAGTTTGTTATAGCAGGAAAATGTGGTTAATCGTTTAGTAACATTGTTATTCATTCCAGTGACAGTCACTGACATCCCCTGTCCCTGACACATTTTGTCGAAGTGCATACAAGCATCGCACTGGACAAACAGCAAGGGGGACTACACCCTTTATTAAATGAAGCAACCCAATCATCTCCCAATGTAGAGTTAATATACACATAATTAAAGAAAGCAGTAAATGTATTCATTGAAACAGTCAGAGATCTTAAAGAAAGAACAGAAGTTTCAATAACAGATACAGTAACAGTGTTGAGTAACTGCTGTGTATTTATTTAAGCTGTCTGTCAGCTGGAAACTGCAAATAAATAGAAATTGTACACTAAATTTGCAGAAACTTGCAGTGTTTAAGTGTGTTTTTCCTATAGAGGAGTTGTTAACTTATTTTCAATTAGAAAAACATCAAAAAGTTCTCCTGCTGTGAGGAAACACTTACCGGCCTGCCCCACTCACCCTCCTGATGATAGTAATACCTGCACAAACTCAAATTGGGGCTATTTAGTCATAGACATTGTTTCACTCGCCTCACAATATACTGAGTTCTTCAAATATTCATACTAACATATCGTCACGATGACAGTAGTTAGTGATGGTCATTCACTTAACTCTCATTTTCACTGTGATACGCTTCTAACAGTAGCCACTTGTTTTCACAGATCTATTTCTCATTTGTTACTCTGATAAGCCTCTTACAGCAGTCGTTGGTTATCATTGATTAAAACCTTCTGTTTTATGACAGACTGATTTCCTTGAAACAAGTTAGTTTGTTAGTTCCTTTTTTTTGGACATCACATTTAATATAAACTTGGGTTTTTGTTGTGTGTCTTTCAGGTTCAGTGTCTCCCTCTGCTGGTGTATCTGTGTGTTTGCTGAAGACTGTGCTGTATTCCATCAGTCTGACCCTCATGCTGTCTGCAGTCATCACCGTCCACATCAGAGAAAGACTGACCAAATCATCTTAAAGACATGGATGGTGTTGTAGTTACATGATTCTTAGTTATGATCTCTTATTACAGTCTACTCTACTGTATAGCTGTATCTAACAGGCTGATATCACTTGCTGTGTTTTTGAAAGCTGTAGCTGTACAGACCTCTAGCATCACTGCTGTAGCTTCTCAGACGTCAGCTGACTGAATGTACTAGAATACTGTATCTTGTGTAAGTAAATGTTTTATTATATGTATTAAAATGCATTTCGCTTCTGTCAGAACAAAATCTTGTATCGCCAAAATGACTTTAAAGGAGATGGGGAAAAAACAGTTTACATTTAATGTAAGTAACTAGAACCAGACTTTTTTTTTCCCCAAGTAATTTGGGGGTGTTTCATTTGGTTGCTTCATCATGAAATGGGCACACAATGTAAAGGGCAACAGATATTTTCAAATTATACAAAAAACATGCATTTTTTTCCAAATTTTAAAAGATTGTTCCTAAAAACAGTATCACTTGTATTAAAAAGGTAGAAAACTGTCCACATATGGACACCATGCATGAAAGCATTTTCACAGCTTTTTTGTTTTTCAGTAAAGTATTTTGAAATACATTTAATGCTAATATATGAAAGACATGATGTTTTGTCCAGTTAAGCCATTTTAGACAGAGAAGCTAATGAAGAGAAACATGACTAACCACAGAGGAAAACCAACAGGAACTGACAGATATTAAAAATAATTTTGATGTCACACATAATCTACACTAAGAGAGCTGATCTGACTAAACATAGTAAAAATGAAAGCACATGATTATTTTTAACAGAATAAACCTATAATCCAGCTCTGAGACACATTTCATTTCATTTGTCACCTTGTAACATTGTTTGAACAACAAAATATATAAACTATAAACTAGACTACATACTATTTAATGTCATGTATGTATTATATAATGGCTTTTTTTTACTGAGTTTAGTCCTCCTGCTCTGTTGTTCACTCCACATGCTGAGTTTATAGCTGCACAAACAGCTCCAGATAAACACATTTACAGTCAACTAGTTTAAGCCTTTAAACTAGCACTACGTGTAATCAAGTATTTATGATGTTATTAGCGTTACTGTACATTGTCACTCCTCTAAACACAAAGTACTTCAGACACTTTGTTATTTAATACTCACTCACAAACTAAATTTGGCATTTTTCTGCTAATTTAGTGTTTTATTGTTGTAGTTGTTCAATGTGTTCAATTCAGCAAATGAACAGTAATTGTGTATTAAAACGTGCAGAAGTGTGTTCCCTGTAGAGGACATGTAACTTTTACAAAATATCATTTGACAAACTTTTGCATATAACTGTAAATATGACACCAGTTGAAACTTTTTTTGCAGCAGCAGCATGAATATCTAGAAATTAATGTATTTCATTCAAATGTGTTTGAATAATTATTTTCTTATATGTTTAAAATGAAACAGATCTTTCTTCATACTTGTAAATACATACTTTCTGTTCATATTTTAAAAAAAGACATTATGTGTGTAAAGTGGATATATACACTTTAATTATATTAAATAACAAAAACAAAAGTGTCCTCACTCAATATACTAACATACAATACAGAGGCCTTATGGATTAGTCTTTAAGATGCCACACCAGATCATGATAAAGCAAATCACAGTATAACAAAACATTTCTTATATTTTCTAATCTTATCTAATTTAATCTCTCTACAGTGTCCAGTGATGTGTTCAGATTGGCTGGTGATTCTGTTCAACTGGACACACAGGATCCTGTGCAGAAGTTTGAGGACTTGATCTGGGTTTTTAACAGAACTAATAATAATAAGGCTCCTGGTTATGAAGGCAGAGTGGAGTTCAATGAGGAAACCTACAGTCTGACACTGAAGAACTTACAGAAGACTGATAGTGGACTGTATGAAGTAAGAGCGTCTGGTGATGAGGACAGAGTTGTTGCTGAGTACAGACTCTCTGTGTTGGGTAAGTCTTATAGCAAATCAGTCAGTGAGAGGAAACATGCAGTCCTGACACAACACTGCTGTTATTAAGACGCTGTAATTTTCTCTATTCTTTATTTAATTATGTGCAATACTGAGATTCTCTGAAGGCTAAAAACACAAACTGATATCTTTTAACTAAACGCTGCTCAGAAAGAACACAGTCCTGGTTGAGTAAAACACAAGATGAACAAAAATCAGTAAACAAAATTTCTCTCTCTCACTCAAAACAATCTTTAATACTCTTCTGCTGGACAGATATCATGTGGTAAAAATATTCCTTTTTTTTTAACTATTTTGTTTTCTGTTTCTTCATCATTTGATCTGTCATCATCTTCCCACTTACATATTACACTTTATTCATAGTCATTCTTAGTCATTTTCATTTTCTGTCTCCCTTGTTTTGATGGTCACTTTTCTTTTGGTCAGTGAAGTCCTGTGTTATTTCTTTGATTAAAAAGTGAATTTTCTGAAAAAATGAATGCTCTCACATACAGTGACCGTCTTCTTTTCTACATTTTTATCATGTTCAGCATTAGACTTCCCCCTCTGGATAAACTGTAAACTCACCCAGCCTGAATTCATAACATAACCATACAATCTAGAGTATCAAACCACATCACTGGTTTAAAACTGCTAGGAAACAGAAAAAGGTGGCCCACTGAATCTGCTTGTGGTGCGTTTTTGTCAGCTTATAAGACCACCATACATCAGACCAGCAGGTAGTGTCGAGCAGCAGATATACTACAAAGTGCATAGAAACCGACACAGTGAGATTGTTGATAAACCCCAAGTTAAAGATCATTATTATACTTTTTAATATGAATTTAATGCAATAACTTTTTAAATAATATAGTAATTTTCTGACATTTGGTATCAGCTAACTAAACTGCCTGTTTCCAGTGAAGAGTATTTTAGTTATGTTATTACTATTATTTATTTCTTGCTTTTACACCTTTCAGCTCCCATCAAGGGAGATGTAGGCAAGGTGGATGCCAGGTTTTCAACTGAAGGTTCCCCTTAAAAGTAAAAAATAAGTGGTAAAAAAAAATGCTAAAAAATAAAAGGTGAAAAAAGATGTGACTGTAATGAGAAGTTGAGCAGTGCTGATAGTCACTGGATGCCACGACACATCGATGCCAAATGTCTGCACCAGTGTAGGTGCCTTCATTAAAACAATGTCATTTTATTTTTCAGATAAAGTGAGATGTGGCACAACCGGTGTGCAGAGGCATTATGTGAAAAAGTCATTTATACTGATACAGATATCAAAAATTAAGAACTACTGCCTATGCTAGTAAAAAATGATAAAAATCTGGAAAAAAAAGTTTTATGTACAGAATATTTCACAGTGCCCTGCATGTACCTTTAGGCTGCCGCTTAGTTTTCAAATGGATTATATCTTATAGCTAATTTCCTCAAAAATATCTTGTAAAAAAAGGGATGCATGAGGTTTATGATTGTAGCATCAAACGAGAAAGTTATTGAGATCAGTTGAGATCAGTCCATCAAATGTTTCTATTAAAATGGTAGTTAAAGTAGTTACTCTGATAATGTGAAGATCTGAAGCATCACAAATCCTGCAGTAAACAGAGGAAAAACTGATGAAACTGCATTTGGTGCCACTGGTGATAATGTTTTATGTTCTTTTACAGATTGAGAAAAAATTGAGAACACAAGAAGCGGGAAATGACGCCACCCTGAGCTGGCGGGAGAAAAATGGAAAGGTTTGCCAGAATGCCATTTGACAGTGCCATGTTATCACTATTATGCATCAGTTTATGCCTAGTAAACCTAATAAAACACACTTTCCTAGGACTGGAGCAAGGTTGCTCTAATAAGCTTACTTCTGCAGAGTGTTAAAGAGACAAATGTGTGGTCATTTCTAACATTGTGGAAATATCAAAAATAAGGGGAAAAAAACCAGAATGTGCCAGGCGAATACCGGAGTGCACATATGTAGATACCTTAGTGGCTCACTGCATTCACCGCCTCAGAACATTGCAACTGGGAAAGCTAAACCATGAAGGCTAGCTAGAGAGAGAGACGGAGAAAACCATCTAAAAGTGTAAGGGGGAGTAGGGGAGACCAGAAAGTTACTTCAACAAGACACAAAGAAATAAAGAAATGAAAGTACACTATTTGTTTAGATATCAGAGTGAGAAACCACAGGGCCAAAGTGCAGAAGGTGCAAGTTAGTCAGTTCATTCTGTCTACTTCACACTACCAGGTGACAAAGCGACAGGCACCCGGTCATTTCCTATGGGAGGATGTGATTTGTACTCATGATTTAGTGACAAGTGGCAGAGCGACTTGAAATTCTCAGTTTTATACAATAAACTATGATGCAGTGAAGTGACAAACTAACTGACTTGCTGAAACAAAATCCTCAGAACAGTGGTAGACATGTGAGTCTGAGGTCCCCAGCCACTGCTCTTTGAACATTTTGTTCCCACAAGAACTTCATTCCTATTTCCATAAAATTATTGTGCAAAATATTGAAAAAAAAACTTGTTTGATCTAGACCAATGGTTCCCAAACAAACATTGTGAGTCACAATTAATGCTCCTAAGTGATATATTTATTGAAAACTCTTGACTGGAGAGAAGCTTCCGAAAGTCAGTTACAAAGGTTTTGTACTCCCCAAGCTGGTGGTGTTACATTTCACTGGTTTACAGAGAACAAAGAAGTTACAATTCATTGGTTACAAGTAATGTGATATGAATAAACAAGAGTAACAAATATGCATAACATATATAATTAATGACACGGAAAGAAACTCATATGGTCAACAAAGTCTTACACTCGAAGAAGCTAGCCTGCAACCTCAAGGTCACTGAACAAGGATGCCCCCATATACACACACACACACACACACACACACACATATACATATATACATATACATACATACATACATACATACATACATACATACATACGCTCATTAAACTGGATACAAAACTGAATATAAAAAAGTTTAATCTGAAGCGCTGTGCTGTTGTTGGTGTGACTGCAGTGAATACCTTTTATTCACTGTTATTAAGGCTGTTAAGGCTTGTTTGATCCTTTCAGTTGTGTTTGCGAATTAGTTTCACTTTCACAGGTGTGATTCAGTCTGTGGTTTAGTGAGATATTAGCTTGAAGCTGCTGTGATTAGCGCTTAGCTGTTAGCAATTTATTTGTGTGTTTTATGTGTAAGACCACAAATGAAATAAGCTTTAGGGCTTCATTGTGTTTTACCTCGATGATGCAGCATTATGTGTGTTTGTAATCATCAAATAAATTCAATCAATCAATCAGCATTTTGGTTGTGTGTTAGAACTGGACGAATGGTAGGGATGTTAAAATTAAACAATTACGGTAAAGTTGGGTCTATATTGGCCGTTTACTGGATATTCAGATTTCTCATGAAATATATGTGCAAAAATGACCATACCTACATTTTTCAAAAGTATCCTTCAGTAAATTTTAAAAGCTCAACAGGCAAAACACAGACGCGCTACTGTTTAAGGGAGCATCTGAAAAGTGCATAACCTAAACAGCTGTGAATGTTTACATTTTGACACACTAAAGGTTGTATAGGCTGCTGTGATTATTTAGGGTTATGTCAGCTTACCAAACGGGTGGTGTTGCTGTGCTGAATGTGATCTGTAGCACGTTAGTGAACGCTGTTAGTCATCACTCATTTTACAGCTGCATACTGTCTTACACATGCACATGTGCCTTCATATAGAGCACCGAGCACTTTTTGAATAACATGATTTATTCAGTTTATCTAGTGTCACTTCATGTTTGATAATTTGTGGGGCACTGATTTTTTAAGGCTAAATTTCTAACTTATGCATCATGGCAATATGTGCATCTGGGGGACACAGCAAGTGGTCAAATATCTGAAGGGGTATGGGAAGTCTCAAACACAACAACATAGAGACACCTTCAACAAAGTATGTACAAATTGGCTTGCAAAGTAGAATGCTTCAGGCTATAATGTTAGGATAAGAATAACAGTACTCTACATCAGTGATTGACAGTTTAAATAAGGATCGTATTTGTATATTCAAATCTTCAGTGCAAAGTACACATAAATGCACCTCTTACATTATCGCATGGCAACTAACATCAAACCTAGACGAACTTTTATTCACTGGGTGAAGATAGTTGTGCCCTTCAGAAATTTATTTTGCTAGTTTGTCTTACTGACCCCTGTCACTGGACCTGATTACACCATCTGCTCAGTTTTCTGTCCTTGGTAAAGTAGTGATAACATTTATTTGAATAGTTCCTCATGCAGTCAAAGTCTCGTCTAAAAGATAAACCCCAAACACAACAGCATAGAGGTCCATTCAGTTATTGTTTAGGATTAGTCTACCAGCATATCGTATCAGTCACTGACAGCTGAAACAGGGATTGCATTTGTATATTCAAATCTTCTTCCACTGCACCCACACAACGAACAGCAATAAATAAATGAAGACAACAACCAAGACCAGTGTTTCTAAAAGGTCTCATCTGCAAAAGAGGCAACTTGCAGCCTGCAGGAACAGATGTTAGAGGCCTAGCATTTGGTTAAAGATAGACAAACATGAGTTTAGTTAATTCAACAAATGAGGCCTTTAATCTAGTAAATGTGCTCTTACTGTTAGCCAAACAGGGTCTATATTTCCTCGACAGCAGCATGATTTCGAATACAGCAGATTAACTCTTTTAGGTAAAGGCTGCGCAAAATATTAAATGAAGGGATGCCAATAATTGTGGCACACACAGATTTGAGAAAAATATTTATTTCATTTAAGATTTCATTTTTTCTTTCAATCATTGTACCTCAAATCAAAGTTTGATTTTTGTTTCATTTAAAATATTTCTGAACAGAAAAGACCACAATCGGTCTTTCTCTGCCAGTTCAAACCTAAAAACTATATATTAGTAAAAAATGTCTATATTTGTGTGTGTGTGTGTGTGTGTGTGGTGGTGTGTGTGGTGTGTGTGTGTGTGTGTGTGTATTGCCAGTCTCCTGCTGGCGGTAAACATTAATAATCACCACAGAACATGCCAGTATGACACATATTTGCATAAACTACTATTCTTCATAAGAGCAAACACTTAGCTTAGACACAAACACTGAACTACAGGAGCTGTGGGGGCTCATGAGAACACAAATTAACTGAGCACATTCAACACAGGTGCCATGATATGTTGCATCCATGACAGCTGGGCACTCTGAACCTCCGTCTCAAAGTGTTTACATAAAAAGTTCTTGAAAAGCTTTGAACTGTACTTATAAAAAGCTCCGAGAATGGAATGAAAGAGTTGTTAGTGCTTTATTTATTTTAAAATTCAACATAGGCAGTGTTGCAGTCAAGACCATTAGAGGCAAAACCGAGATCTGAGGCAGAGTCAAGACTGAGAATAGGCCCAAATGAATGTTTAAATGTTTTGTTTCTTTAGTCATGATCTATGTGACAAAATGCATTGCAAACACATTGTATTTAACCCCCTAAACCTCCAGCATATTACATACTGAGACTTATTATTCAGTAATACAGGGACTTCAATGCAAATTGGTTGAGCTATTCTTAGGTTAAAGAAGTGTGCAATAAAACTTTGGGCCTGCCAGTGGGCCAATGGCTATTTAAGGGGTAAACAAAGTAAATAACAGCAGATAAACTGGGCTACTTAAAGGTAGGGTCAAAATTAACACATTTATTTAGCTGTATGTTTTGTTAATATTTTAGTTTAAGTTAACACATCATTAAAAGTAGGGAGTATTTAATACATAAATAAATATGAAGGTCTTAAACACTTCAGCATCACTGCTGGACTGAGAATAGTCCACCAACAAAAAACCATCCAGCATCCTGTGGGCAGCAAACTGTGACCACTGATGAAGGACTAGAGGATCACTAACACAAACGGTGCAGCAACAGATGATCTACTGTCTCTGACTTTACATCTTCAAGGTGGACCAACAAAGTGGAAGTGTCTAATGAAGTGGACAGTGGGTGGAAACACACCAGTAGCATTGCTATATCTGATCCACTCATACCAGCGCAACACACACTAACACACCACCACCACGTCAGTGTCACTACAGTGCTGAGAATGATCCACCACCCAAATAATACCTGTATTGTATTACTAGTCTGTCAGTCTACTTAGCCTGCATTTAAGTCAGCAAGAGCCATGAAGCCAAAGAAAATCTAAACTGTTAGCAGTCATGTAACAATCCAACATATGTCTTTAGCTGGTTATTGTTGACAGGAAGGGGGTTTGTTAGACATGCAAAACAGCGAACCACAGATTATTGTTTCTGCATGTCATGCTGGTGAAGCCTTTTGCAGCCAGTCAAAACAGTGTTAAGATATTCCTGTGTTAAGCAGTTGCTCCTCATTTCCAGTGGAGTTTTCAGTCCATCATTGGAAATATTTTCCATGGTCACATGCTTTTAATGTTGGGTGTCAACTGAGTGGAAAACACTCTTTGCTGACAGTTAAATCAAACTTCTCATAATATATGCCATAATGGTTGATGTCAGGGTGGCTTACTAGTGTACACTTAGCAAAGATTAGCATGTTATATAAAACCTAACATATTGGTCCATTCTTCCGTATAGGCATCTTGTGATGGTTACAATAACAATAATAACACTGATACATTCCTGAACATAATCTGGCATGACAACTCATAACAGCGTATGACATCTACCATGACATGTTTATGGCATGGTTATGTCAGTGTTATGTAGCAGGGTTAAAGTGTTACCGTATGTCCCAGATTATATGAGAGAACTCTTACTGCAACTCATTTAAAACTGGGGATGACTCAGGATATCATTGAACATTTCCAGCTACAGCTTACAGTACCTACTTCCCTGGATCAAGACAGAATGTTTGTCTTAAAGACTCTTAAAACTCATGGACTGTTCTTACCAGTGAGATCCATCCAGTTATTTACAACACAGAAGAAGGCTTGTTTACTGATTGGATGTACTTCTGGGTTGAGATTTGGACTGTTCATCATACTGACCCCTTTTGTAAACACACACTTGGCATTTATAAAAGCTCTTTGGTTGATTATTATGCAAGATCAATAAAATCACATTTGCTAGTCATTTATCAGGAATACTGTGGAGCAGTCTACAACAGCAAGATAACATTCAAACAGAAAAGACAAGCAGAAACAGAAAGCTCATCAGACTAACCACAAAAATACACCAGCTGAACCAAATAAGGAAGAGAACTTGTGCTGCAATGGCAATGCTACTACAACTGATCTTCACACTCTCCTATTTGGCTTCAGTCACAGGTAAAAAAATCTGACCTTTACCAATACAGAGGATAAATGTATAATAATATTTCTATCTATCTATCTATCTATCTATCTATCTATCTATAAACAAAATTCTCTGACATATAACAGAAAGGGTTAAATGTATTATAATCTATCATTTTTAAGTGGGTGTTCTGATTGTATATGTACTTGGTGACACTGAAATGTCTTTGACCTAAAATTACATGTAGTCATATAAATGATGTAATGCATTTTATACACCGTAAATATTGGAAAAGCTGTTTTTTTAAATGATGCAATGTATTAACATATGGTATATGTTAATACATGGCAGTGTGTTGTAATTTAGTTAATGTGATATGCATTACTGAAGCATGACAAAGTCATGATTATATAAGAAAATAAGTTTTCTTTGTTCTTTCTCAACAGAGACCAGTGATGTGTTCAGACTGGTTGGCAGCTCTGTTCAACTGGACACACAGGATCCTGTACCAGAGTTTGATGACTTATTATGTTATATGATAACAAGTCTAAAACTACTATATACTATTTTGATTATAAAGGCAGAGTGGAGTTCAATAATGAAACCTACAGTCTGACACTGAAGAACTTACAGAAGACTGATAGTGGACTGTATGAAGTAAGAGCATCTGGTGATGTGGTCACAATTGTTGCTGAGTACAGACTCTCTGTGTTGGGTAAGCAGGGGTGATGTAATGCACATAATAATTAAAGTCTGATTGGCCTTTTATTAAAAATGAGATTGTGTTTCTGTGGGTATTAAATTGTCATTTCAGCATCACATGTCTATGTGTATCTCAGATCCAGTGGACACTCCAGTCCTGACTCCTGTCCTTCACCAGCAAAGCAGAGGCACATGTAGGATCACTCTGACCTGCAGAGTTCATGACTACTGTATCAGCTCCAGCTGTTATGAGGAAACCTGTGAAGAGAAGGAAGTGACATCACCTGGAGATGTCATCCTTTCCCTGTCTGTCAGTGGCAGCTCCATCATCTGTAACCGCAGCAACCCAGTTCCAGAAACTTTGTAGGCAAGATCACCTAAAAACCTTCGTCATATGTATTTATTTTTTTGGGATGAATCAATAGGCAAGTCCCTAGGCCAGCCCCTGAAAAACAACCCTCCACCAAACTTCACAGTTGGCACAATGTAGTCAGGAAGGTAAAGTTTATCTGACAGTCAACAAACCCAGACTCATTCATCAGACTTTTAGATAGAGAAGCGTGATTCGTCACTCCACAGAATATGTTTCCACTAAAGAAAACTACATCATGGAAACCATTTTAATCACATTGAATTGAGTGGTTTATTCCTATTTGACACTGGAATTTTCTAAAATATGTCACACTAATAATATGACAACCAGTGTTAAAGGATGACAGATATCACAAAATACCAAAACAACTTACCTTCATATCTTTGTTCTTTCTCTACAGTGCCCACACGTGTGTTCGCACAAGTTGGCAGTTCTGTTCAACTAGACACTCAGCATCCTGTACTGGAGTTTGATGACTTAACCTGGGTTTTTAACAGAACTAATAATGTTCTAAAATATTATCCTGAGTTTAAAAAAGCTAAACAGTATCCTGGTTATGAAGGCAGAGTGGAGTTCAATGAGGAAACCTACAGTCTGACACTGAAGAACTTACAGAAGACTGTATGAAGTAAGAACATCTGGTTATGCAGATAGAGTTGTTGCTGCGTACAGACTGTCTGTGTTGGGTAAGTCTTATATAATATCAGTCAGTGAGAGGAAACATGCAGTTCTGACACAACACTGCTGTTATTAAGATGCTGTAATTTTATGAATGATGCGTTTGTTTCTGTATGCAATTACGTGAGTGGAACTCTTTTGAGTGCTGACCAGCAGGTCAGAAGCTAAACAGTGAAAAGAAAGATGAAGGACACACAAGGCTGGAGTACTACTTGCACTCTGAGCCAATGAATGCATCCAAGCTACACTATATTTCCAAAAGCATTCGCTCGTCTGAGATCCCATTCTTAATCCATAGGGTTTAATATGATGTTGGCCCACCCTTTGCAACTATAACAGCTTAAACTATTCAGGGAAGGCTTTCCACAAGGTTTAGAGTGACTTTATGAGAATTTTTGACCATTCTTCCAGAAGCACATTTGTAGTGGCGCTTTACATCACTGCATTCAACACTTTGCATTGCGCTTGCTGAGGCTTGGATGCAGCTGCTCGGCCATGGAAACCCATTCCATGAAGCTCTCTATGGTGTTCTTGAGCTAATCTGAAGGCCACATGAAGTTTGGAGGTCTGTAGCGATTGACTAAGTTGGTGACCTCTGCGCACTATGCGCCTCAGCATCCTCTGACCCCACTCTGTCATTTTACGTGGCCGGCCACTTCGTGGCTGAGTTGCTGTCATTCCCAATCACTTCCACTTTGTTATAATACCACTGACAGTTGACTGTGGAATATTTAGTAGCGAGGAAATTTCACGACTGGACTTGTTGCACAGGTGACTTCCTATCAGGGTACCACACTGGAATTCACGGAGCTCCTGAGAGCGACCCATTCTTTCACTAATGTTTGTAGAAGCAGTCTGCAGGCCTAGGTTCTTGGTTTTATACACCGGTGGCCATGGAAGTGATTGGAACACTCAATGATTTGGATGGGTGAGTGAATACTTTTGGAAATATAGTATAAGCTTGTTGACCTTCTCATAACAGGAGAAAAAAGCAAACAAAGTAAAATGGAAACATCTTAAATGTTGCTTTTTATGTGGAAAAATTACAGGTTTTTCTCATCTGGTCACACTGGGAACATATTTTAGTGAAAAGTGTAAATGGAATCTGGCCAAAGTTTATCCATGTTTGATCAGGACACAAAACACATGATAATGGCAGGTGTAAACAGGCCCTGTGTATTGCATGGTCCGTTGGAGCAACAATCTGGATTGTCTGGGTCTCTAAGTATCTGTTTGAGAATGCCTAGAATAAGCTAAACCAATAGTATGTAGAGAAACAGATGGACTACAGTGTGTAATTGTAGAAATATGAGTGTAGATACAAGGAGGTGTACTTAATAAAGTGGCTGGTTGGTGTTCATGTAAGTGTTACAGTGATAGGAGAGCTCTGACCTGGGGACACATTTTAGTTAAACATGTAAATGGAATCTAGTCAAAGTTTATCCACAACACAAAAAACATACTATTGCCAGGCGTAAACAGGCTCTATGTGTTGCAAGTTAGGCTGGAGCAAAAATATGGACTGTCTGGGGTCCTTTAGGATCTGTTTGAGAACCACTGACAAAGAATGGACTCAAGTTCTTAAGCAGCAAAGTTAATACAATGATTGGTGTTATTCTGCTTTTTTCCAGATGGAGTCGCGCCCTCTGCTGGTTGGTCCTGTGTGATTACTGAAGACTGTGCTTTATTCCATCATTCTGATCCTCATGTTAGCAACAGTCATCATCCACATCAGAAATAAACCAAATCATCTTAAAAACATATATGGCCCTTTGTTATAGAACACAGCACTGTGCATAAAAAACAAAAACAAAACCCCTGAGCTGACAGTAAAGGAGACTGAAATGCCCTTAAACAAGGCACCTGACCCCCAACTGCTCCCCAGGCGCCGCAGATAGGGCTGCCTGGGTTAAATGCGGAGAGGAAATTTACCCATTGTGGGACTAATAAGGGTCACTTAATGTAATTTAATCTAATCTGAAACACTTAAATAGAAACGACCATTTGAAGCATCTGTGAAATACTGAGTGGAACAATACTGACTCTTTTTTTCTGTAAAAGACTTTCTGCAAGTTTAACAACAAGACTTTAACCTTTTGAGAAATCAAACAGAAAGCTCTCCCATATAAAGTTAACGATTTGTTAAAATCATTAAAATCTTAATGCTTACCTTAATGGGCCTGGCCCATTTATTTATTTATTTTGCATGGGAGTGTACACTTTAGCTCTTCCTAATCCCCCTCACACCTGCACTGCATGATGCCTATGGATAAAACTTCCAGTGAAGCATAAAGAGACACACACCCACCCACCCACCCACCCACCCACACACACACACACACACACACACAAACTATCTAAGCAGCTTATCCTCTTGGGTCGTGGCGAGGTGCAGGAGCCCATCCCAGCGGTCATTGAGCGGAAACCAGAAAAAACCCTAGCCGCCAATCATTGGGCACACAAAGAGACAATATGTGAAATGGCAATGACATCCTAACAGGATAAAAATGTAAGGATAAAAAAAAAATGTAAATAATACTTATTGTCCTTATTGATGCTTGAATTCTTGTGTGCCGATGTCTGCAATGACTAATGTTTTATTCAGAGGATTCTATTTATCTGTCCTACATGAATTATTCATACTAATAAAGTCATTTCATTTCAACTGTTTACTTTTGTTTACACTTATTTGTTCTGCATTGTCTACAGGCATAAAACTGTACACCAGTGTCATTACATATGTTTATGTGTTGGCCACAAATTTCAACAATAACGGCTGGGCTTTTTCAAGCAGTGACTGTGAAGCCACATTGTGTTTTCATCAGAAGTTTAACAATATTCTTGTTCTTGCTGTACTGTCAGCTTCAATCAGCTGTAGTGACAGCCACAAACTAAACATTGTCCCAGAATGTCTCAGAGACATTTACTGGGACATTAAACAATAATTTCACAAGTTAGCACATGTGTTCCTTGACTGGTACAGTCAGTCCTTACAATGTTTTTTTTCCAAAAACCTTTGCAAAAGTCTGTAAGCTATGGCAGCCTATTCACCTTATTTTTCACACAACCACTGTATTTTGAGATTTTGGCTGAAATCCCAGTAATTCTTTTAGCTAAGAGTATTGTATCTTGGGCAAATCATGTCACCTTTTATTGCCTAATATCATGAACAACCTGCTTCCACATCACTGGATCTACAAAGCTAATGTTGTTAAAAGTAATGTAAGTCAATAATATCCAAAATTGTTTCCATAACTGCATTGTATGACCAAAATTATGTGGACACCCAAACATCACATCCATACATATTTGTTGAACAGCTCGTTGGCATGATTATGGAGTTGGCCCCCTTTTCTGCTATAACAGCCGCCGCTCTTCTGGGAAGACTTTGCTTTAGATTGTGGAACATTTCCAATGGAATTTGCTTGCATTCAGTCACAGAAGCATTTGTGAGGTTGGTGAACAATAAGGCCCAGCTTGCAGTTTGTGTTCCAATTCATTCCAAAAGTGTCAGGGCTCAGGCCGGTCAAGTTCCTCCAATTCTGCATTTCTTGGAACTTCCTTTGTCATTCTGAAACAGGAAAGGAACTTCTCCAAACTGTTGCCACAAAGTTACTGTGGCACTAAGATTAACCTTTACTGGAAATAAGGGACCCAACCTGTGAAAAACAGCCCTATTAAATCTCTACTGCCAAACTTTACTATTGGCACTGTACAATGTACCACTGCCAGGACAAGTTTCCATACTACTAAGTGTCTCTACAAGTAATGGGACAGCTCAGGGGGGACATTTCAGGAATTGATTTGTTGGAAAGGTGGTATACTGTGAAATTGCCATGTTTACAGTGACTGAGCTCTTTAGTTCAACCCATTCTACTGTCAGCTTTTGTCTATGGAGACTGCATGGCTTTATGCTAGATTTTATGCACATCTTAGCAAGTGTGTGTGACTACAATTGCCAAATCCAGTTAGAAAGGGTGTCCATATGCTTTTGGCCATGTACTATATTTTACTGTAACAAAAATCGTTTTTATTACTTCACAATCACATTGTAGTCCATCTACAGTTCTCTCCTTCTTGTGTCTACGTGGTGTTCATGCGTGGTAATCCAAAACTAGTGTGTAACAACTCTGTTAGCAGATAACTCACTGTGCAGCAGCCACAACAAAACTGAAATAGTGATGCAGTAAAGCTGAGAGCAGAGTATAGCAGACTGACAGAGAAGCTAAAGAACAGGATCAAGACTAACACAGAGGAAGTTCAACTGTGTACCTTAAATAAGTTTTCCCAGTGGAAAAGGACATAATTGTACCTAATGCTTTAAAACAGAACAATACAATAAAAAGCCTGGAGACAAGACGGGGTGTGTGGAGTCAGTACAACTGGATGGATTATGGTACAATTATGGATTATAGTACAATTATGTTCCCTGACTAAAGGAACTGAGATGTAACCTTAAGGGTACCACACCAGTGACAAGAGTTAGGTCCTGAGTGTACTCAGTTCTCTGAACTTCATCACTATAGAGTTTAAAATCTATGATAATGTATCATATTTGAGTCGCTCTGTATAATACAGCATGTAAGTGATTACTTCAAGTGCGCATGTTCTGGTGACCCAAACATAATTTGTGTTAAAACACATTTTAATGTGTACAACATGTTTTAATACTTCTTCAGATTTTTTGACATCTGTTAATGTCATAGCTGAACTGAATAAGTAAATTAAAAGCAGGTTTAATCTTTTGCTCTTAACACACATAATCTACACAAAGAGAACTGATCTGACTAAACTGTATACACTCAGTCTATATCTGAATGTATACAGTTTAGTCTAATTTTAATTTAATTTATAGTGAGTAAGATGAAGAGGAAGAAGAGTTTCGGGCCTGGTCCTAGACCCAAACTCAAGTTATTTTACAACTATATTTCTTATTTTTCACCTTGTAAGATAGTCTGAACAGCAAAATGTAACAATGAGTTTAATCCTCCTGCTCTGTTGTTCACTCCACCTGCTGAGTTTATATCTTCACAAATAGCTTCAGTTAAAACAGAGATTTACTGTTTACTGATTTAAGTCTTTAAAGTAGCACTACATGTGGTGAAATGTATGATGTAATTAGCTTTATTACACATTATTACTCCTCCTAAACACTGGAAATACTTTTCATTATGGTTAATTAAATAAAGCAACAGTGAGAGGAAACATGCATCCATCCTTTTGTTTTTGTTATTTAGTATTTACTTCAAATTCATACTCATCGGCCTGTATTCACAAAGTTTCTCAAAGTAGTAGTGCTGATCTGGGACTCCTGTCAGTAAAGTCATGGTAAATAAGAGAGGAATCTGATCCTGGATCAGCACTTCTACTCTTCTACTATGCTTTGTGAATACAGGCCATAATGTCTCTTCTGACTTAGAAATAAAAGCATTTGTATTTATAAAAATAAACAAAGATTTGGTAAAGAAAAACAAAAAAACAAACAAACAAACAAAAAAACAAGAAAGATGGGGACAAAAGTACATAGATACTATATTAAAAATATACATACCGTCATATGCAAAAGTTTTTTTAATTGATTTTCTAATTGAAGATGAGTTAACACACCCTCTACAGAGAAAATAAGTATGGCATTTTGCTGCTATTTTTAGTGCACAATTTCTAGTTATTTGCTGAATTGAACATATTGGGAAAAAAAAAAGTAAAACATAATAACAAAAAAGTAATTTCACCAGAGGTGCCCAAATGTTTACATACAACTGTAGAGTGTTACATCAGTTTATTTATGTTGATTTTGTAAGTGCAACTAAGTTAACACATCTTCTTCAGAGAACACATTTGAATATGCCATTTTTCTACCAATTTTGAACACTTTCTGTTTATTTGTTGAGGTTGACATATTGGAAAAAATAAAACATAACATATAAAATGTGTCATAATTTTTGCACATGCCACATTTTATCACTTATTTTTCTTCAATATGTTAAAATCAGCAAATAAACAGTAATTGTGCATTTAAATGTGCAGAAGTGTGTTTTCTGTAGAGGATGCATGAACTAAACAAAACAAACATGTAACTTGACCGGGACACCCAAACTTGAGTGTCTGAATATTTATTTCCCCACTAATATACACTACAGAGGTTTTATAGATTAGCATGCCACACAGTCCCAAAGCATGACAAAGTAATCACAATATGACAAAATATTTATTATATTTTCTAATATTCTTTTTTCTCTCTCTCTACAGTGTCCAGTGATGTGTTCAGATTGATTGGTGACTCTGTTCAGCTGGACATACAGCATCCTCTACCAAAGTTTGTTATCCTGGATGTTTAATAGAACTAATATATTTTTTAACATTTTCATAGATTTAAAAAAAAATAAACCATATGCTTATGAAGGCAGAGTGGAGTTCAATGAGGAAACCTACAGTCTGACACTGAAAAACTTACAGAAGACTGATAGTGGACTGTATGAAGTAAGAGCGTCTGGTGTTGAGGTCAGAGCTGTTGCTGAGTACAGACTCTCTGTGTTGGGTAAGTCTTATAGAAAATCAGTCAGTGAGAGGAAACATGCAGTCCTGACACAACACTGCTGTTATTAAGATGCTGTATTTTCTCTATTCTATTTAATGGAACATGCAGCTCTTTGTAATGTTCTGTACACCCAAGGAATGTTGAAATGCTAATATCAATATAATTCATTTAAATTCAGTAAAGAAAACCCTTGCTAGTAATGTTCTACAGTGTACAGTGCAATCTTTTAATACTGCATTCACTTTAGTCCTCTCTGTAGGCAACTGTAAACACAACTGCTGGTAATTCAGAGTGGTTTTATGTGAAATAGTTAATTGTAGAAAAACATACTGACTCTGATTTTTTCTTACAGTGGTGGTAATAGGAAACAAGGGTCACAATGTCTGCAACACAATATAGCCATTTTATTTACTATACAAAACAACCTATGAACTTGCACATGTCTTCAGAGAATATATAATGAGGGTAAAATAGTGGTAAATCTAGAAAAAAAATCTTATATTAATTAAGTAATTAATATAAGATAATGTTACATCAGATCAACCTGCATGTACCTCTGCACCAGAAAATATGTTTTAGGCCAAGACCTCATCACAAAACAATTAAAAAACTATATTTCAAGCATCAGGCTGTGGATTCATGACTTTATCATGCAATAATCTTATATAAGGGGGTTTTTAAAGGCATTAATAACTTCACACATTTGGATCCCATCACCAAAACTGCGAATAATTTGGCTCTGTAAGTTTCTCTAGAATGGCCCATTAAATCACTGGTAATCGTGTAATCATGCAGAAATTTTGAAAATCAGTGGAATTCCCCTTTGAAAGCATCACTAAAAACTACTAAAAACTAGGTCGGTATAAAGCTTGTTTGTTTGGATTTTGACTTATAACTATAACATTTAAACAGTGTTTAGTGATTAACCTCATCCCACCAGCTCGAAAGTAAACACCAGAAATTCTAAGGTCACTTGCGACTGTTATAATATCGTCTAATATTAACATCATCACCAACGTCCAGCTACTCAGAAAAGATACTTACCACTTCTGAAAGACCTTTACTGATCTTTGTGATCTGTGATGAGTTATTTATCATTAACTGATTACATTACAGTGATGTGTCTGTATATCTTCTACCTCAGATCCAGTGGAGGCTCCAGTCCGGACTCATCAGCTAAGCAACGACACCTGCACCATCACTCTCATCTGTAGAGGTCATGACTACTGTATCAACTTCAGCTGTTGCAAGGAAACCTGTGAGGAGAAGGAAGTGACATCAGGTGGAGGCATCACCCTTTCCCTGTCTGTCAGTGGCAGCACCATCATTTGTAACCATAGCAACCCAGTCAGCTGGAAGACGGATGTTTTGGAGATGAGAAGACTTAAACAACTCTGTGCTGATGAAGGTGAAGGTGTGAACACAGATACACACAGACACAAACACTGCCTCTAAAATCACCTAAAAGATCCAGACCTGTGTCTTTGTTTGTACATCAAGCTATTCCAAGCAATAACATGGGTGCCTAGTGGGGGAGATTAAATGAGTTGGGTATTTGATTATATCACAGCAAATCATAGTTTTGCTTATAACGTTATGAATTGTAAACTCAATTTCAAGAGTTTCAGAATGAAAACTTTACATTAAACTGTGGTTAACTGGTTAGTAACACATTCCAGTGTGTGAGGAATTCAGTAAGAAACAAAGCTTGCTCTCAATGCACTGATTTTGTGGACATCCCTCTTCTCTCTGGACATATCCTGTTGAAATGCTGACTGCACGCATCACACAGGACAAACAGCATGTGTTGCTACACACCTAAATAAACGAAGCAACATGATCATCTCTTATTGTACAGTGAACACATCATATGTGAAAGAAAGAACATGCATTCATTGAAACATTCATAGGTTTTAAAGAAAGAACAAAAGCTGTGCAGTAATAACAAGTGCAGTAACACAGAGGTGAGTAAACATTGCATATTTATTTGAGCTGTCTGTCCCAACTTTTTTGAAACATGTTGCTTACATTTAAAATTGGCACATTTTTCAAAAAAACAATAAAATATCTCAGTTTCAACATTTGATATGTTGTCTTTGTACTATTTTGTAATTACGTATAGGGTTTAAAGGATATGCCTGTCACTGCATTCTATTTTAATTTACATTTTACCCAGTGTCCCAACTTTTTGGGAAACGGGGTTGTGCAGTGTTTGGTCAGAACAAATAATGGTAATCTTAGTAAATGGTAATCTCAGCTGCTGAATCATGAGTCTTTTCTTCTGTGTTGTAGAGAGACTCAGCATCTTCCTCCTGATTACATTAGCCGTATAATTTGAAAGTTTTAAGTGAACAGGGAATCGACTGAAATATGAAACAAGTTAGTTCTTTTCTATTTGTTAATAATATTTAATCCAACAGTGGGTTTTGTTGTGTGTGTTTCAGGTTCAGTGTCTCCCTCTGCTGGTGTATCTGTGTGTTTGCTGAAGGCTGTGCTGTATTCTATCAGTCTGACCCTCATGCTGTCTGCAGTCATCACCGTCCACATCAGAGAAAGACTGACCAAATCATCTTAAAGACATGGATGGTGTTACACAGTTTATTATAGCTGTTACAGTTACATAATACTCTATTATATCATCATTGATTATAATCTACTCTACTATATAGCTGTACCCAACAGGCTCTCATCACTTACTGTTTTTCTAAGCTGTAGTGCACAGACCTTTAGCATCACTGTTATAGCTTCTCAGACAAAATGAAAATATTAATGTATAAAATTAGATAAATATATAAAGTGTATATATACAGCTAACCACAGAGGAAAAAGAAACAGGAACTGACAGACATTAAAAATAATTTTTAATGTCAGGCGTGTCATTAAAACATAACATGAAGACACAGTTCATTGAACTGAATGATCTTTAAACATAAACTGTTGTTACCAGTCATAATGTGTTCAGTGTTGAGAATGAACTTCTGCATATCATAGCATCAGCGCATTAGTAAAACTCTCTGAGGCAGTGAGGAGGTTTTTCAAAACTCCCTCCTTTATTGTAAAATGACCATCAGCACATCAGTAAACCTCTCGGAGGCAGTGAGGGGGTCTTTCATAACTTCCTCCTTCATTGTTAAAGAGGAAGTTTCTCACAATCTCTGCAATGGCGTTGTTGCTACAGCTGATCTTCGTTCCCTCCACTCTGATCTCAATCACAGGTAAACAATTCTCTGAACTTCATCACTATAGAGGTCATCTATGATAATGTATCGTGTTTAAGTCTCTCTGTCAGGTACAGAGTGTAAGTGATTATTGCAAGTGTGCATTGTCTGGTGACCTGAATAGAGTGATCTGAATTTATGCTAAAACATTTTAAATTGTACAACACATTGTAAGACATCATTAGACATCGGTTAATGCCACTGCTGAGCTGAACAAAAAATGAAGCAAGTTTTATATTTCATACTTTAACAAGACCTTGTGAGACGCTTCTGGATAAAAAAAGCAAAAGAAGCTTTACTAGTCAGTTTGTGATCCAAAGTCAATGTCAAAAAAGTCATGTCAGCTCCAAAAAAGACAAGATACAAAAACAGATAAACATAACAAAAAACGATCAGGCACACAAATGTAAAAGGGAACAAAAACATAGAAGTAAAGTCAGAACCGGAACAGTATAGAAACACACAGAAAAGAACCCTCAGTAGCTTTTAAGAGAAGCAAAACCTTGCAAAAGCAATACCTCACAAAGACTTAAACTAAAGCCCAGGCTTAAAAAAACTATCTAACATAGATCATATGACACAGAGAACAGGGGAGTAGAATCAGTAATCCAGTGAAACAGGTCTCTGGTAGGTGGTTTGTGGTGACGTCATGGTCATGTGTTCATTCAGAGGGTTTAAGGAAATGTCCAACAGAGAGTCAGGGCTGGACTCTACACAAGGAAAGCTGACCTGATTAACCAAATTAATTCAAAATGCAATCCCTATTTATAAACTATTAATCTAACCTCTTAAAAGTTTAATTCTAAACTGCTACAACCAAAGAATAGCCATTTTGCATTGAAGTCCCATTATTACATTAATAGGTAATAAGCCTGGGATTTTAAGGCATTAAATATTCAGACCATTATATTCAGACACAATTCTATTTCATTATAAATTTTATTTTATATTTTATATTTTATTCATTATGAAAATGGAAAACAATAGAGTGTTATAAGGTCTTTCCCTGTAAGTTTATTTTTGGCTGCAATGCAAGGTTTCTAGTTAGAAACACAACAGAAAACATTTCTGCATGTATATAAGCCCATTAATAGTTCATAACAATAATAATAATGCATTTTATTTACATAGCCGTTTTTTCCAACTTTACAAAATCCACAAACAAAACAATACCAGGCAAACAAATTAGCAAAACAGAAATTTGGAGCCGAATTCAGTCGCAGAGCAGTTGTGGCTTGCCGTTCACGCTGCATCACTCCATAGTCTACATCTGAGTAGTTCAATAAAACTTCCTTTTCTATCTGCTTTCCTTTGTTTTGCCTGATCTGTAGCTCATAGACTCAGTAAATACACTTCCTAATTATTGAGTTCAGGTGTTCAGGAAATGGGTTTAGAGTATTTTACTGTAAAAATATTTTATATGGATTCTTAAATAATGTAACAAAAAACAAATGCAAACTTCATAAAATACAAAACAGCTAAACATAATGTACTTACATTGCAACGTAACAAGAACATAACCAAATATTTTTGTCTCTCTCTATAGAGTCCAGTGATGTGTTCAGATTGGTTGGCGATTCTGTTCAACTGGACATACAGGATCCTGTACCGGAGTTTGATGGCTTATCCTGGGTTTTTAACAGATCTGAAAATGTTCTAAAACATTATTCTGAAGTTAAAAAAACTAAACAGTATCCTGGTTATGAAGGCAGAGTGGAGTTCAATGAGGAAACCTACAGTCTGACACTGAAGAACTTACAGAAGACTGATAGTGGACTGTATGAAGCAAAAGCAGTTGGTGCACAGAACAGAGTTGTTGCTGAGTACAGAGTCTCTGTGTTAGGTGAGTCTTACAGTGTGAGATACAATGGCAGGAAAAATGCATTTCTGACACAGCACTGCTACTGTCAGTCACAATCTTACATTCTTCTATCTTTTATTTAACCACTCTGCTGCTTATTATTAATAACTCTGCTGAGTTCTAAGGTCTTGTTAATTAGAAAGGACTGATCATTTTAAAATTAACTAGTGATGTTCAAAGAACATTCATAATCTGTGTTGAAGTAGTCAAATAAAGTGATTCATTACTTCATTACCAATTATTTCTCTCAGACTGTAATAGGATTACTTTACTCATTACTTCCTGTTAAAAGTAATCTCACTACTCATTAGTATAATTTGACATTACTCTTAAAACCCCATATAGATGGAAAAGTACAAGGGACAATGCAGCAGCCCTTTCAGTACCTTTTAGAGATTTAGAAATTAGAGTTTACAAAGAATCAGCCAATCACAGTGAAAATAATAATAATAATAATAATAATAATAATAATAATATCTAGTAATGCTAGATTAAAATGATGAAAAAATGCAGTTTGATAACTTAAAATTTGAAATCAACCAGTAGAAAGAGTTCCAATACAAGCGTCTCAAAATAACATATTTATGAATACAAAGTAAAGCTGAGCAGTTTACAAGGGAAACTCTAGTCAAGTGATGTTTTAAGTGAGGTTGTTGCTCTCCTTCAGCTGAGGACAGCACTGCTCATTTTCACAATCAAGATTGCACCGTAAGCTGTCGCAGGTCCTTGCTAGAAAAAAAAAGCGCAGATCAGACCAGCAGCATGAATTCCATGCTGGTTTTCCAGCAGAGGCAGAACATGTACAGACAAAATGTACTTTTTAAATGCAGCGCAGGGACGTGAGAAGTGAGAGTGCTGACTTTGTGGCAGCATTAACTGTTTGTTAATGCTGTTTTTCATTGCCACAACCTGGCGTAATATACTTTCTGCACTTAATCATCTAACATCATAATGTTTTTTGTTTATTTATTTACTTACTTACTTATTTTAACATATATATATCTTGCTTGCCATGACACAGACAGGGATAATCTGGGATATTTTTAATTAAAATGTAAAATCACATAAAATATTTCCCCACAACTCTGTTAGCAGATGAACTAGCACACTGTTGGCTCTCTGTGTGAAATGCTTTGACTCTGTGTTGAGCTGCTAGTGAGCAATGAGTGGTTAAAGGGGAGGGGTGAGAACCCCCTCCCATGAAAACAATTCATGCCATTGCATAAAGATGGCTGTGCCAAGACAAAACAAGCAGCACAACTGCAGCTTTCTTCATATCAGACAATTGACAAATAAAATATAGCATTTAAACACAGTAAAAACACTTTTTAAATGTTGGTTTTCTTGCTTACCTTTAAAGATGAAAATAAGGTTCCCTTCCATTTTGTGAAGTGAACACATTACCATGAAAAATAGGGAGTAGCTTTATTGAAGACAAAAATGCAGAGTCTCTAAAGGATCTCCAAAACAGGCAGAAATTACATTTTATGGTTCCCATGAAAAGGGGTTAATTAAACTTTTTGACTATTTAGTCTTTCTTTCGTATTGTATGTTATGTTTGCAGCTATTATAAGCATCATTTGGTTACTGAAGTGCTGCAATATTATTATTATTGTTATTATTATTATTATTGTTGTTGTTGTTGTTGTTGTTGTTGTTGTTGTTGTTGTTGTTGTTGTTAAGTAATCATGTTTGAGTCCAGGCCTCTAAGACAGTTTATAGGATTTCACGATGTCCTGAGACAAACAGATACTGAAGTCACTAATTCATAATTATCACTCCAACTGATTTACTGTTGTCTGGTTTTCAGTGTGATTACCTGCACTGCACTGATCTGTATGTATGTGTACCTCAGATCCAGTGGAGGCTCCAGTCCTGACTCACCAGCTAAGCAGAGACACCTGTAACATCACTCTCACCTGTAGAGGTCATGACCTCTCTATCAGCTCCAGCTGCTATAAAGAAACCTGCGAAGAGGAGGAAGTGACATCACCAGGAGGCGTCACCCTTTCCCTGTCTGTCAGTGGCAGCACCATCATCTGTAACCATAGCAACCCAGTCAGCTGGAAGACGGATGTTTTGGAGATGAGAAAACTTAAGCGACTCTGTGCTGATGAAGGTGAAGGTGTGAACACAGATACATACAGACACAAACACTGCCTCTAAAATCACCTAAAAGATTCAGACCCGTTTGTTTGTTTATTTATTTTCATTAAGCTATTAAGCGGTAGCCTGAATATGTTTCTTCATGGGAGCCTACCCAATTATTATTAATCATATTTTATGTTGTTGATTGCTATTTTTAGAGTCATCGCTTTGAGATCTCCAGTATTATGTTAAAGCAATAAGCCGTATGTTACTGCATTTTTATTAGACTGAAGGGTGTTCTTAGGCATGATGCAAAGCAGAGCATGTAAAACCCCCTTCCACTGTGATAAAATTACAATAATGCACAGCCTTGGGTGGCTTATTGCTTTCAATGAATCAGCAGCCAATGTAAAATATGATAATAATAATAATAATAATAATAATAATAATAAGAAGAAGAAGAAGAAGAAGAATAGTGTATAGTAGTAAGTTCAATTTATATAGCGCCTTTCTCAAACCAAAGGATGTTTTACAAAAACATTTCCAACAGCTGGCGAGGGGGGATTACAATGACCACAATATAGAGTCACTTAGCTAGCCTGAAAAGAGTCCTTAGCTGCAGCGGAAAGTGTCACTTCATAACTACAGTGTGTCCCACAGGCAGCCAGCCTTGGAAGCCTCAAAGGCCGAAAATATCCTTAGCCACTGGGGGCATTTTCCTGCAGCCAAACACCACCAATCCAGGATCAATTACACAACTTTCAGAAAATAATTTAAGTTATTATTAATAATTATTAACAGAAACAAGGATTCTGCTGAAAGAGAAGAATGTTCGGTTTGGTCAGATTCTTACTGAAGATGTTATTTCTTTTCTATTTGGTCATCATATTTAATCCAACAGTGGGTTTTGTTGTGTGTGTTTCAGGTTCAGTGTCTCCCTCTGCTGGTGTATCTGTGTGTTTCCTGAAGACTGTGCTGTATTCTATCACTCTGACTCTCATGCTGTCTGCAGTCATCACCGTCCACATCAGAGAAAGACTGACCAAATCATCTTAAAGACATGGATGGTGTTGTAGTTATATGATTCTTTGTTATGTGATCTTATTACAGTCTACTCCACTGTATTGCTGTATTGCTGTACCTAACAGGCTGTTATCACTTGCTGTGTTTTTGAAAGCTGTAGTGTACAGACTTTTAGCATCACTGTTGTAGAACAAAATCTTGTACCTCCAAAATGACTGGAAGAGAGGAGACGGAAAAAACAGTTTACATTTAATGTAACTAAGTAGGACCAGACTTTTTTCCCCCCCAAGTAATTTGGGGGCGTTTCATTTGGTCGCTTCATCATGAAATTGACACACAATGTAAAGGGCAACAGATTTTCAAATATCCAAAAGTTCAAATGGATTTGTACATACTGTTTATGCATATGATTATAAACATCACTAAAGACAGTGATGCCCCACAGCAGTATTTTTAGTGAAGTGTTAAAATTGACTTTTGGGTGGGCTTAAATGTATGAGCAACCTAATATTGAAGTGCTAGCATTATTACTGTAGTTCATGCATTTTTTTTTCCAAATTTTAAAAGATTGTTTCTAAAAACAGTATCACTTGTATTAAAGCGGAACAGAACTGTCCATGTATGGACACCATGCATGAAAGCATTTCCACAGCTTTTTTGTTTTTCAGTAAAGTATTTTGAAATACATTTAATGCTATATATGAAAGGCATATGATGTTTTTTCCAGTTAAGCCATTTTAGACAGAGAAGCTAATGAAGAGAAACTCAACTAACCACAGAGGAAAACTAACAGGAACTAATAGATATTAAAAATAATTTTGATGTCAGACGTGTCATTAAAACATAACATATTTCAGTTAATTAGTTGAATGATCATTGCAGGTTATTAATTCTATAAAAATACACTCTGCTACCACTTTAAAAACTACTGCTAATAGTTATATTGTGCTCAGTGTTCACTGAACACATTAAACTGAAGGTTCTTTTTGTATGTATGCCTTAAATAAAACTGCATTAAATTATGTTTTTAGTGTAGAATATTCTGTCACCTTTTTCTCATAATGCCTACATGAACATCAGCACATTAGTAAACCTCTCAGAGGCAGTGAGGAGGACTTTCAGAACCTCCTCCTTCACTCATAAAGATGAAGTATCTCAGAGTCTCTGTAATGGCGATGTTGCTATAGCTGATCTTTGTTCTCTCCACTGTGATCTCAGTCACAGGTAAACAATTCTCTGCACTATTCTTCAGCACTATAGAGGTTAAAGTGTATGATAATGTATTAGTTCAAGCTGTGGTCCCACAGTTAAAAAAAATATTTAACAAAACAATAAGTATTCATATCTATTCTAACCTGTTTACATGTATTATGTTTAAATCTAGTTAAACCTAAGACATTAATTGAGATAGTAATAAGCAAAATATATATAAAACCATCATTAGTAATGATAATGTATCATTATTGACTCGATCTGTTAAATAAAGTGTGTAAGTGATTATTGGTTTAATCCTCCATAGTGTCATAATCTACACTAAGAGAGCTGATCTCACTAAACATAGTAAAAATAAAAGCACATGATTATTTTTAACAGAATAAACCTACAATCCAGCTCTGAGACACATTTCATTTGATTTGTCACTTTGTAAAATTGTTTGAACAACAAAATGTATTAAACTAGACTACATGCTATTTAATGTCATGTATGTGTTATTTGATGGTTTTGTTTACTGGGTTTAGTCCTGCTCTGTTGTTCACCTACTGAGGTTATATCTGCTCAAGACTAAACACACATTTACAATTGACTAGTTTAAGCTTTTAAACTAGCACTAAATGTAGTCAAATATTTATGGTTTTATTAGCGTTACTGTACATTATCACTCCTCACAATTCACAACTTCTGCTAATTTAGTGCTTTTTTGGTGAGTTCAACATTGAAAAAAAAATATTAAATATAAAATAGAGAATGTGCCAGAACTTTCAGAGAAATCACATTTTGTTTAATTTTTTCCTCAATATGTTCAGATCAGCAAATGAACAGTAGCTGTGTATTCAAACGTGCAGAAGTGTGTTCTCTGTAGAGGACGTGTAACTTTTACAAAATATCGTTTGAAGAAGGGCACCCAAACTTTTGCATGCAACTGTAAATATGACACCAGTTGAAGCTTTTTTTTTTTTGCAGCATCAGCAGCAGCAGGAATATCTAGAATTTAATGTATTTTCATTCAAATGTGTTTGAATAATTATTTTCTTATATGTTTAAAATGAAACAGATCTTTCTTCATACTTGTAAATACATACTTTTTGTTCATGTTTCAAAAAAAGACATTATGCGTGTAAAGTAAAGTGGATATTTACACTTGAATTATATTAAATAACAAAAACAAAAAGTGTCCTCACTCAGTATACTAACATACAATACAGAGGCCTTACGAATTAGTCTTTAAGATGCCACACCAGATCATGATAAAGCCATCACAGTATAACAAAACATTTCTTATATTTTCTAATCTTATCTAATTTAATCTCTCTACAGTGTCCAGTGATTTGTTCAGGTTGGTTGGTGATTTTGTTGAGCTGGCCATACAGGATCCTGTACAGAAGTTTGAGGACTTGTTCTGGGTTTTTAACAGAACTAATAATGTTCTAAAATATTATACCGAAATTAAAAACAACTTAACAGCATCCTGCTTATGAAGGCAGAGTGGAGTTCAATGAGGAAACCTACAGTCTGACACTGAAGAACTTACAGAAGACTGATAGTGGACTGTATGAAGCAAAAGCAGCTGGTGATGAGGTCAGAGCTGTTGCTCAGTACAGAGTCTCTGTGTTGGGTAAGTCTCATAGAAAACCAGTCAGTGAGAGGAAACATGCAGTCCTGACACAACACTGCTGTTATTAAGACGCTGTAATTTTATCTATTCTTTGTTTATTCTTGTGCAATATTGAGCTTTTCTGAAGGCTAAAAACATTGTTTTTTTTTTAAAAAAAAACTTGTTTCTGTCATTGACAACAAACCTTATAAAGTGGTGCTAAAGAGATACACTCTAAAAAGTGATTAATGTGTTAAATAAGAACACACTTGTGATATCCGTTTTAACACTTTGTGTCACATTGTTTTCTGTGTTAAAACTAACACAAAATGTCATCTCTAAGCAGGCAGAGAAAAATTAACACATTTTGTGCTAAAGCTAACTCAAAATGTGCCGTCTCCAACTGAACACTCTGCTGTGTCTAGTTAGAGACAGAATGCGTTGTTTTGTAACACATCTGTTTTTCAAGCGTAACGTGGTCACATTTCACAATTTTTAAAACTTCTCTCATTACTGCCTTCCTTCCTCCTGCCTCTCATTTTGTTTTCTGTTTCTTCATCATCTGAGCTGTCCTCATCCTCACTCTTACATATTTCACTTAACTCAGTCATTTTCTCCTCTGTTACACTCTCTCCCCCTCGTTTTGACGGTCACTTTCCTTTTGGTCATTAGAGTCTGAACACTGAAGAGTTGAGTCAACATGAGCTCTTTTATTTATTTATTTTTTTCTGTTCAGTGCTGCTGATTTGTGATGAACTGTTTCTCACTAGTGCACATGAGTGCTGTTGCATGACAGTCTGGTTTCTTCCTTACGCAGCCACTAAACCTCAAGTTGGCTCAGCAAACACGAAGTTATTCTGTCATTTACATCTCTACTTATATCAATTTTTCACTATATGTCTGTTGAGGGTAGTTTTGAAGTTTTATTAGTATTATCTGTATATTCTTAGGCATATCTCTGAGAGGGTGCTAGGGGTTCCTGAACCTCCCATAAAAACGAAGGGATCCCCTATAAGTCTGACAAAATTGAATGTGGGGGGGCCCTGTGTTATTTCCTTGATTAAAATGTGAATTTTCTGACAAAATGAATACTCTCACATAAAGTGACTGTCTTCTTTTATACATTTTTATTGTGTTCATCATTAGACTCCTCCCCCTGTATCAACTATAAACTCACCCAGCCTCAATTCATAATGTAACTATACAATCTAGACGCTGAGCCATGTCACTGTTATAAAACTAGAGAATGCAAACTGCTGAGAAACAGAGAAAAAAGTGGGCCATTGTTCCTGCATGCCGAGTCTTTTGGCTGTTTTATAAAAGCAAAAAGCCACTGGAGGCCCTGTGTTAATGTACTTTTATCACAAGGAAGGGTGTTTTCTTTGGCATGATGCGAAGTGGAGTGCCTAAAACTCCCTTCACACATGCACAGCCTCTCTTGGTTTATTGCTTTACTAACCAATAATATCACGTTTGATCTCTCCCTCACCTCCTTCCATCTGTTATCAATTGAAATGCCCAGCTTGCTTAGAGACCCTCCCTGATACTGTGTTTCATACAGAAAGTCACAGTACAGAAGGAAATTCATGATTCATGTTGGCATTCAAGTCTTTGCCAAAAAGAGGTCAGTACACTCTCAAAAAACCACATGTAGGGCATTATTTTTAAAAACATCTGTGTGTTCCCTTACAAGTGGCACATTCTGTGCTACACAACTAGTGTACAATCTTATTTAACCTGAAAACATTACAGTCTTTTTGGGAGTCGACACTTCAGTTCCTCACTTCTTATGTCTTACAGAACTTACAAATTAGTTTCTTTGTAATGACTGAATAATCCATAGCAGTCACTCGGTACAGAGTAGTTACACAGTAGATACAAAAGAGTAAAACAGCTGTTACATAGTAGTAAAATATTAATTACATAGTTTAACTTAATTAGATAAAAGGCCTGCAGTTTAGTGACTAATACAGTCAGTGTAAGGAGACATAGATATGAATTATGCATTAAATTATGGATTAAAAACCTCTGACAAGTATTATTAGTGAAATCAATAGTCTTATATGTCACCTCTTGATCAGGCTTTTCATCAGGGCTCTCACCAAGATTTCTGCCACAATTTGAACTCTTTTATAAATGCACACAATGTAGAAAACAAATCAAATTCTTTTTAATTGAACTGACCATTTTTTAAGTTGTATTTGCATTGAAAGAATGGAGGTATTCCAAGTGTTAAACCAACCAAAGTCAAGTAATATAAAAAGAGAAAAAATTGTGTTTTTTGAGTCTCGTGTGATTTCCACCTGCTATCACAAGACACATACCAAAATAAATCTGTTGCACTTAAAGTAGGATATATCCCATGTTACTCAACTGTTTTGAGTTAGAGAAATATTTTTGATGATTTCTTGTTTTCAAAGATTTTATTGGTTCATGGCTCCATCTGTTTGTAAATGTTCCCCTTGTTTTATTCACCATCTCTGTGTTGTAATTTCTACTAGGCTAACTTCCCTTGGGTGTATACTTGTAAAGGAACATTGAGATATTAATATAGATAAACTTAATAAAAAAGTATGTTCACTTACCAAGGCAGTTTGAAATGCTGAAAGAAATTGAACAGACATGCTTGCTGCAAATGCTCTCCAGTGTACAACACACTCTTAATACTGCATCCATGTTTTTCCACTCTGTAGGCAACTTCACACACCACCACTGGACAAGCTATTGGAGCTCATTTGTACGTCCTCCCAAACAGCTAAACACAAACATGTTGATCTGAAGATAAATGCATTAAAAATTGTGCATTTACTTTTAAAAAAAAAGTGTTTTTTTTAAAAAAGTGATGAAATAAAACCTCAACTCATAATTATGGATTTTTTTCCTCTCAAACACTTCTCTGAAGAGATTAAAGTATGCTCAGTTAAAGTAAGTCATTAAGCCTAAAACTGATTGTACAACATAGCATTGTAAGGAGCTGTTTTTGCCAATGAACACATATTTGGCATGATTAAAAGGATTTTTGATTTGTCTTCCATGGTTTGAATGTAAACAAAGTCATTCTGAGTGATTTGATGTAAAATGGTGCATTGTACAGAAACTTACTCAATTTCTTTTCAGTGTTGAAAAGAAAAAAACAAAAAAAAAAACAAAAACAGGGGTCACAGCGTCTTCAAAACAACTA